GAGCTCGAAGACGTCACTTTTGATGCTGACCACATTATCCATCGCTGCATAGTCGAAGGCCCGTTCTTTCGCCAGCCGGCCGACCACCCACATCCGAAAAATTAACGGTATGTTTGGGCTTCTCCCTCTTATCCTCTTGCTTGGCAAGCGTTCCACGTCTTTATGAGATTGCAGAAAGCATTAAAATTCTTAATGATAAACAGGAAGAGATCTACAAAGATAGGTTACAAATCAAGTTAGAGGAGAGTAGAAAACAACCAAAACTCCAAACGATCGCGACTGTGAATACCGGCCAAATCTCCCCCTTGGAAGATGTTGATGTGCTGGGAACTGAGATTGAAGAAGCCATAAAAGTGTTGAAGTTGATAGTTGCAGTGCAGGAGAAAACATGTTTCATCATTGCACTTACTGGGATGAGAGGTCTAATCTCCCTGCACTATACGAACTTACTGTAGAAGCGTACACATTACTTAAAGAGAAACTAGATTCTCTTCGGCACTGCAGCTGACTGGAATCCGAAAATGACTGAAATTTCTGCTTGAAGAACGAAAGCCCGCTAATGTTGACGATGATTTTTGCTTAACAATCATTTCTGATGGCACAACCCGACATATAATAATGCAGATCCCACAGTTCATCACATATAACCAAGAGCGAAGCCCTGTTATATGCGGTACACAAGAAACTTATTCACATATGCATATAAAGTGCTAGAATAGTTCCTAATATTTATGAAAGAAAGGTGTTGAGAGCTTGAGATAAAATTTTCTCGTTTTTATTGTGTGTTTTTCTATTAACATGTAACCTTTTTTTTCCTCTTTTTAGTTGTTATTGTTATTCGAATGAGTAAAAAATGTATATTTACATTCAATAAAAATTAGATATGTTATTTCTTTTTATATTATAACCTATTGAAACTTGACTTCAATACTTATTCTTGCTACCATCATCTACTTGATACTTTTCTTCCTAACCATCTTAGATCTTAGATCACATACGCCAGTGTGACCAATGTTTACCTGAAAAGCAAATTTACTTAAATAACTGAAAATCATTCACTTTGTCCCTCAATCTCTTCTTGATTGAACCAAAACTTGCAGAGCCATGGCTGTTCTTGATTTGTCAAATTCTTTCTGTTTTCCAAGTTCTGAAAAGCAAAATAAATATGGTAAAAATAAAATAGAACAACCGCACTAATCAAAACCAAAATGAACTAATACTAAGATTTACATCTAAATCAAATTCTTCTAATTTCATTTTGATTGCACGAGCCATAATTCCCACTTCATCTATGTCTTTATCCATTCTTTGCTTAAAATCTGGAAGCAGTCCAAATGTATGATTTGTTGGGCCATCGATACGCATGATTAAAATGCTCGAATGATCGTCTTTTTTGTATGTTGTTCTTAGTAAGAGCCTTGACCTCCTCCTTGTCTTCCTGAATTTTTTTTTGCAATTTAATGAACTCTTTAATCTTAATATAAGATATATGAGCTCAAGATAGAATTTTTTTTTGTAATTAAAATATTTGAAAGCTTTTGAGGTTACTAGAGTTGTCACGAGATCATCAACGGTTTTTACCTGTTTTGATGAAGTAAAAGATTCAAAATATGTAAGGAAGGAATTAGTGAGAGAGAATATTTAATTACAAAAATACCCGTCTGAAAATATCCTCCATTCCATAATCTGTTATTAAATTTTGCATTGAAAATCCTAACTCCATCTCTCTTTCTCTTGAAGGTCTGTCTGGCATCTCTATTCTGGAAAGAAAAAGAGTTCTGCAAGTTGAAGAAGACTGAAGGTTAGGACTGCAAAAATTTACTAAAAAGAAGCAAAATTCAAGAAGAAAAAAGGGCCATATTTCAGGTCTGTAACTTCATTTCTCACAAACATGTTATATTTCCTTACTGTCACATTGCATTATATCTTGTTAAAACTACTACTTTTACTTCATCAAACTGTTATAGATATTATTAAAATACAAATCATAATAGCTAGGATGAACTAAGGAAACATCATGAACAATCATATTGTTCCAAAGAAGGAAGAAACAAAAAAAAAAAAAAAAGAAAAAAAAAAGAAGAAGGGCATCTTACATCCCACACCAACATTCTATTCTACATTTAGGATGAGGAGACTTTTAATTAGCTATAACCACTATAGCCAAACTCTGGTAGCTTGGGTCAATACAACCACTTTCATCGGAGAGGTGGGCATATCATTGAGTCATGCAACTAACTAAAGGAAGACATTGAGAAATTGATTTGAGAAGGTTGCCTTAAATGTTTTGCCCAAGACCAACATGTCCGTGCTGACACTAATCTAACTGAAAGGCAATAACTGCAAAAGTATTAGCAGGGTAGTTGTCAAATTGTCAGTTAAATTGAGGTTGTAATTGGACCATTACTATCAGGTAAGTTTTGATCATTGTACTAGAGTGCCGAACAAGTCTATTGCCACTTGCTCCATGATATAGGCAACTCTGGCATCGAAATAGTGCCTTGCTATTGATGTCGGTAGTGGCAACACATGCTTCAATGCCTAGTGGATTCTGATTGTCAATGTGATTTCCATCCATATTCTACTCTATTTAATTTGGTCAGTGTCAGAGACTCTAGTAGCTTATAGGGACTGTTCTTTGAGTTAGATAATTATCTGATGAGAGTTGAAGTGGTCATCACTCTGTCACACTAAAAAAATTTCCTTGATAAGTGACTCGATCTAGTTTGGGAAAGGCAAATTTGAGTCAAGCTACAGTAATTTCTTTGGGAGGCCCGCTAGTCAAATCTTCGACACTATTGCTTCTGTCATTTATCTCATTTATGTGAAGGTGAATAATATGATCCTTATTGGAACCACTGTGCTGTGGGAAACGAAAATAATTTGAGGTTCAAGCCCCTTAGTATAATGCGATATTTTAACAGAAGAGAGATTTTGTTGAATTTGGAGATAGCCATGCGTCGTTGAAAACTATGGGTGTAAACGAGCCAAACACCAAGCGAGCTCAGGCTTAGCTCGTGTTCGACTCGTTTATATTTCAAGCTCAAAAAGTGTGTTTGTGTTCAGTTCGTTTGTTTAGCGAACCGAACACGAGCTGTTCACAAACAAAAAGTCGTTT